ATATAATAATAATGTATATGTATTGTATATTACTTTTTAAATGTTAATTATTTTTTTGTTATTAGTTCTTGTTTTTTCTTTTTAGGTAAGCGTCGATGTTATGTGGGAATTTAGAAATGAGAAGGACGAGAAGATTACATGTATAAAATTCCCCGTGAAGGTTATATAAGAATGCAACTGGAATTTTCGTAGTGACCATGACAATTTATTACGCCCCAGTATTTAAGTGTACACGTTACCTATATTAGTTATTTTTAAACAATAAACCTCGCTGCATTTTCCATGCATGTCGCAAACTTCACCGATTAAAGTTGTAGGAATAATAAATGATAAAAAGTCTCGATGACATTTGTATTTTTGTTAATATTCTATATGTTTAAAATACTCTTTGTCTTTTGATTTTAAAATACTTAAATAATCTTGCATCCGACACCCGTGCGGTCTCTAAGCGAGTCGAGTTGAATGAAATACGTGAAGAACACGTCGCCGGGATGAGCAACAGCTCAGTTGTTTAATGGATTTGACAGATTGACAGATTTTGCGGTTGGAACGTCATCACGTCACACGTCACTACATTCGGACGTACTCCTGAGTTTCTCCGCCGTATAATCGTTCTACCTCTTTATGTGTGTTCTAAATAAAGCTTTTCTTTCTTAACTGTATTAAGAATATGTATCTCTTCATTTCCACGATTCGCGAGTGCGGGTACGCATGGGCTTGCGATTCGATCGCGCGAACGTAATATTTCGCGAGTGTAATATTTTGGAAAACTATCGATGTAAAAAAATTCAATGTGAATAAGATTTTATGGATTATAAAATATTGATAAGTGTTGCTCAGAAGCACTTTACACTCTCCGACATCTTACCCATATTGATTTTTTTGCGTGGATAGCTTCGCGTTTCGGCTCCGGAGCTTAAATTGGACAGGCTTCATATTATATAAGACTATACATGCCTGAAATATTTGTGTAAGACCTATCTAAAAAAAGTTTAAAGATATATTATAATCCGATTATGGAGTTAATTTGTTTTGTCTAGGATGTTATAGCGCATATCTCAAAGATAGAATATCACAAAAATTTTTATTTTTTACTTTTTATTCTATTTTTCTACTTATATTATCGGGAAATGTAACGCAAGAAAAATCTTTCTGCTGATGTTTTATACTCCGAAATACATAACAAAAATATTTTTTATTTTATTATAGCGTATCATTTTAGCATCTTCTATGTTATCTTCATTTAATCACGTAATGTAATTTTTACAATTTATATTAGACTTTTATTAAGAAACCTATTTCGTTTACAATATTATAGGAAAAATATTACAAACTAAAATATAACATATATAGAGTGTTTCATTTTAATTTTCCCAGCCAAATATCTCGAAAAATATGGAAGATATAGAAAAATGTTTCAGATAAAAGCTGTAAGTTTTAGAAGGGTCACATGTCGTTTTTTTTCTAGGTGAAAGTATTAAAAAGATATGAAGATCACTTTCACTTTTTTGATGAAATTGTATAATTTTTTTTATACAATTAATTCCTTTATTCTGCATACAAAAGTATTAAAATAATAGTCAAAAAAATCAATAGTTTACGGTGTTTACGAGATATTTTATACTTTATTCCGACACATAATGACATAAAGAAAACACATATAATTGCTTTAAAAAAATATATGAGCAAATTGGATAATTATTTAAGTAAGCAACTATATGTTCTCATTATATTAATTGATTTATTTTATTATTCTGTTCATGAAAGTATTAAGGTACGATTATCAAAAAATTAATAATTTACAAGTTATTTAATATTTTATGTCAATATTGTCGGAATAAAGTATAAAATATCTCGTAAACTATTGGTTTTTTTATATCAGTACCTTAATGCTTTTATACATATACAGAATAATTAGAGGAATCACATTGTGTAAAAGAATTATACAATTCCATAAAAAATGTGGAGGTGACCTTCATATCTTTTTAGCCCCTCCACCTAGGAAAAAAAATGAGGATCAAAATGTGGCCTCCTCTAAACCATGTAACTTTTATCTGAAATATTTTTCTATACATTTTCTAGATATTTTCTATTATTTTTCGAAATATTTGCCTGGGGAAATTAAAATGCGACACTGTGTGCGTGCGTGCGCGTGTATGTATGTGTGTAGAAAAGCCTCGATTGGAAAGGCAGTCAACTGTTAAAGGGTGTTTACGTGAAGTAATCGGATCTCTAAATTGGATTGAACAGTGAAATTCAATCTGATGATTCTAAACGTCCCTCTACTCTAGACCAATCCAGATTACAATTCGTGTCGTCTATGAATTTCGGACTACTATCGTCATGCGTATTTCTCTACTGAAAGATTAAGTTTATATTTCACAAAATTCAAAATATTTTTGTGGCATTTGGTGCGACTCTTCTCTACGTGCTGTTGCTGTGACTTTGAAAAAATCTATCCGGAGAAGGTCGACTTATCAAAACACAAAACTGTATTTTACTCTGTGTTATTTCAGTTACGAAATGATATGCTTTTGATAATATTATTTGTCTAATTTTAAGATAAATAGAATACAAAGAATCCATAAATGAAAGAAATGGATTTAATTGGATAAAATCAATTTGGTATATGTTATAAGATTGTAAATTATAATTATTATCACTATATTATTTATTATGTACATACAGTAATAATTTTAGTTATTATTTACTTTGTCACACACACACACACACAAGCATTTTAAAATTAGTTTTGATATAACTGAATGTCTGAGTCATTATAATACGGGATCTACAATAGGAGTAAAGAAAATATTATAAATATAAATATAAATATTAAGGTAATTCAAAGGAAAATGCCACAAGGGGGAAGACGCTCCCCTTTGCTAATGCCTAGCAATGGGTTGCATTAGCAATGGATAAAAAAACATGGCGATAACCAATAAACCTTCTGATGTCTTATATGTATATATATGTATATATATTTTAATAATTTTTATATTTATAATGTTTATATAATTTGTGT